TTTATTTATTTGTATATATTTATTTATATGTGTATTTATTTATTTATTTATGTGTATATTTATTTATTTATTTATTTATTTATGTGTATATTTATTTATTTATTTATTTATGTGTATATTTGTTCATTCATTTATTTGTGTTTATTTATTTATGTGTACATTGTTTATTTTGTGTGTTTGTGCACACACATGTGCTGTTTATTTTGTCCGTGGGTGTTTGGTTTTGTGTGTTTAATACTACTGTTTATTTATGTGCACAAATAAATTGTACTGTTTTGTGTGTTGCTGCTTCATGTGTTTGTGTGCTTTGTTCATTAATATTTACCTATGTGTGTCTTTGTGTGCATGTGTGTTTTGTTTGTGTTATATTTATTTTAATTGTGTACATTTCATTTTGCTTGTTTGTTTGATTGATTTGTCAGGCTGGGCGCGCTCTGGCACACCACGTCTCAGATCTACAGCAGCATCACTGTGGAGGTGGGGCTTCCTTTGACAGACACGAGAGCCAGTCATATCCATCTCTGGCACAGCTGTGGCCAATAGAATGTCTCCAGTAATAATCATCTCTGCTCTGATTGGTTGTAGTTTCTCCCGGTGTACACTCCGTCAGCAGAGGAGAAGCAGAACCCAGAGTTATACGCAGAGAACGTGCAGAAGCTCATGGCCAGGTCAGAACAAACACATACATGCATGCATACATACATACATACATACATACATACTTGCATACGTGTGTGTGTGTGTGTATATACATACACACACACACACACACACACACACACACACACACACACAGAGAGGTATACATGGGGAGCTGACTAATCAGACCTCATCATAACTGAAGAGTGTGTGTGTGTGTTTCAAGTTCATGAAAAGTAGCCGTAATAGTAACGTGTGTGTGTGTGTTTGTCCAGAGCTCTCGGTGTTCCCGCCACTGATTATGTGATGGAGGGATTTCCTGTCCAAAAACTGGGAAATCTTTCACTTCCTCTTGAACCTCCAGCTCAGGAAACACTCCGACTGCTCCACCAGCAGGGGTACGAGACTGTGTGTGTGTGTGTTTGTTTATATTATGTTAATTATATGTGTGTTGTATGTTTGTGTGGTAAGTTTGCAAGTGTGTGTGTGTGTGGAGTAAGTGCACGAGTGTATTCATAAGTGTGTGTTTGTGAACACGCACTTTGTTTTTTGTTTGTCTGCGTGTGAGTGTGTTTATAAGTGAGTGCAGGAGTGTATTCGTAAGTGTGTGTATACGTGTATGCGTGTGTGTTCATGTGAATAGACTCACTCATGATGTTTTTTGTGTGTGTGTGTGCATAAGTCTTCGCGTGTGTGTGTGTGTGTGTGTGTGTGTTAATGAATTATATTTGTGTGTTGAGTGCAAATATTGTGTGTGCATATATATAATTATTGTGTGTGTGTGTGTGTGTGTGTGAATGAACTATATTTGTGTGTAATATGTTTGTGTGGTGTGTTTAAGTGTGTCGCTTTCTGTGTATCTGTTGAAGTGTGTATGTGTGTGATTGCATATAGTGTGTGTGTGTGTATGTGTGTGTGTGTGTGTATCTGTGGATTGTTTGTTATGTTTAAGTTTGCAAGTGTGTGTGTGTACTATGTTTGATTTTGTGTGCATGTGTTTTCTGCGTATTGAGTGTTAACAGGTAGTGTGTGTGTGTGTTTGTGTGTGTGTGTGTTTATATGATGTTAATTATATATATATATATATGTGTGTGTGTGTGTGTGTGTGTGTGTGTGTGTGTGTGTGTTGTATGTTTGTGTGGTAAGTGTGTGTATTGTACCTTCAGTAGGCTGCCCCCTGCTGGTCTGATTGTGGATTGTGTTATATATTTGCGTTATGTTTAAGTTTGCAAGTGTGTTTTCTGTGTATTGAGTGTTAACAGGTATTGTGTGTGTGTGTGTTTATTATGTTAATAAATTATATGTTTGTGTGGTATGTTTAAGTTTGCATGTGTGTGTGTGTGTGTGGGTGTGTGTGTGTTTCTGTATGTTTTAGTGAGTGCATATATTTTGTGTGTGTGTGTGTGTCGATTTGTGTATCTGTGTTGGTATTGTATGCATGTATGTGTGTTTGTGCGACTGCTTGTATATTGTGTGTGTATGCGTGCGTGCATATATGGTGTGTGTGTGTATAGAGTATCTCACTCATCTTTCCTCCTGCTCTTCAGTTTCTCCAAGTCTCGTGTGGAGTCAGTGATGAAGGACATGATTGACAGCTGTCACTCAGGCGAGATCACCATGGTAACGGCTGATCAGCTGACCACTGTGCTGGGGCTGGAGGAGAAGCAGACGGCGGCGAAGATCTGCTCGCTTTACTCAAAGGTAAAGTGTGTGCGCGTGCGTGCGTCTAAACCAGAACATCTGATAAACTGCGCACACACACACACACACACACACGGTCATGACTGATAGAGAATGGG